GGGGAAGACCCTCTATGAGATGGATTGATTCGGTGACTGGGGTAATAGGGATGGGTGTGTCAGAGGCGGTGCGGTTGGCGCAGGATAGAGGCAGGGTTTAGGGCTGTTGTGCACAGGGTCGCTATGAGTCGGAAACGACTCGACGGCACATAACAACAACAACAACAAGAAGAAATTCTTAGAATATATCTTGAAAGAAAAGAAAGTCATATATTTAATGATTGTACAAAAACCAATAAAAATTATAAAAAGTGAAATGAGTATGAGCTTTTATACTTAAGAGACATACATTCTGCAGTGCTCGCTTATAAATATGTCCCACCAGCAGAGGTACTTCTGTCCTATCAGCCCACCAATTTTTATGTCAATCCTTATCTTAATTTTGAAAAATAATATTCCTTTCCTCTAAGATCCAGAACTGCTTGGAAGGTAAGTGATTGTATGTGTTGGGGCAAGGAGAAGTCAGAATGAGCCGGAACATTTTTTTTTAGTGCCAAGAAGAAATAGTGTTTATTTGATCCATGTACTGTATGGGAAGCTCCAGTGGCCTACTGGTGAGAAGCTGCTTTACAGTCTCAAAGAAATGTGGTTCAAATGCACCAGCTGTTCCACAGGAGAAAGATGGGCAATCTCCTTCCATGTGATTTACTGACTCTGGAAGCCCGCTGGAGGGTCAGCTATAGGCCATTTCCAACTCGATGGCACACAGTAAAAACTTGGCTATGATGCGCTGCCTTTGAGCCCCCAGCACGCCTGCCCGTGGTGTCAGGGGTTAAGCTGCAGCTCAAGAGCATGAGTTCGCACATAACTAGGGCCCCAGCCCACTGCAGGCAGCCCTTTTAACCATGAGCGACAGGGTGGAAATAAAAAAAAAAAACACAACCAACAACTTGCCTATGTACGATGTTAATGTCAAGACAAGTTGTATGAAAGAGAATTCTTTGTCCAATTTTTGCAACTTTTTTCTACATCTGAAACTAAAATTATAGGGATACTGAACTTTACAGAGGTCAAGGTGTTTTGTTTGTCTTAGTTAGGCAAGTCTGTCAGCACTGTCTTTCCACGAGCATGTGGTCACTTGGTGAGTCTCACAGTACTTCAAATTTTTTCATGCTATTAGACTACAATACACAGTTAATAGATTACAATACAGTTTAAATGTAGCTTTTATTCCCACTAGAAAACCAAAAAGTTCTTTTGACTTAAATATTGTGATATTTAGTTTAGTCAAACTTAGAATCTCTGCAGTGTAAAGCTGTATCAAGTTTTAAAAACCTATCATTTAGGCATAGATAAGAGGTTGCAAGGACTTGAATCCTATATGAGAAACAGCAGCTACTGCTTCAACAAAACACTACCCAGGCATGAATGGCTGAAGAAGGAGAAGCTGGTGGCATAACTTACACTGGAGGAACTCTTCTCTGTTGCTGGGCTCAGGTCTTGAGATCCGGTATTTGCGCTGCATGACAGCTGACACCTGAGTGCTGATGTCATACTCCTCTAGAAAAAGCAGAGAACTATGAATGCACACTTGTCTGGGTGGCCATGAGACCTAAAAGCAGCACTCCTCAGCCACTCCTCTCTGGGCTTCTGAGGGGAAAAGGGTGCTGGAGCCTAGGAATATCTCAAAGAACCATGCTCAGTGGACCATGATTCTCTCATCTTATTCATGAAGCAAAATAAAATAAAAAAAGATCCCAAGCTTATTTTATCTCTTTGGATTACAAGCATTGTAGTTGTTGTTTGGTGCTGTTGAGTATGACTCATTGTGACTCCATGAACAAAAGATCTGAACCCTGTTCTATCCTGCACCATCCTCACATTTCCTGACACACAAGAGCCCATTGCAGCAGTCACCATGTCAATCCAGCTGGTTGAGGGTCTGCCTCTCCTTCACCAACGCTACACCCTTCCCAGAATCATTCGCCAAGGAATAGCACCTCCTAGCAACATGTCCAAAGTAAAGCTAGTCTTACAAATGCTAGTCAACTGCTTAATGTATTTAACTCACTTTCTCTAGGATTCAGAGGTAAAATTAAATAGTAAAGGTAAATGTCCATTAATGACATGGACAGGCCAATAGATAGCTTGGAAAAATGAGTCTTCATTTTCATAAGCAAATCAGTGTCCTGTCACCAGCAACTCCAAAAGACACACACACCACAGCCAATGGGTGACCAGAATGCTCCTCACCTTCCTTGGCAAACTCCTGAAGCTTCTCCTTCTGGTTCTGCAGTAGCTGGATCAAGTGCCCAGTGGAGTCTGTGATAACCTTGCGGATGCCAGAGAGCTTGTCCTTGAGTCTAATGTAAACACTCGGGAAGGCACTGTCCTCCGTATTCTTAAACTTGCAGTACTCCTGCAGAAAAGGAAACAAAGCTGAAGTTGTTCTTTTGCCTTCTGTGTTCCTTAAATTGGGCTTCTCTTCTCATTTTGTGAGTTTCTGCAACTGTATAACAAGGTTTATGTTAATGTAAACTTCACAAAGAAAGTGTATGTAAAAGGCCCACTTCATCTGACAGCTGAGAAAGCAAAAGCTTAGAAATGAAGAATTACTAGCTGTCCACTAACAGCTCTGACACACTGACCAGGCTGGGAACCAACAAGAGCACGTTTTATGCCAACATTCCAGATGAAAGTAATACTTTTTCCTCCCAAGATGCTTTTAAAAAAGTTTTATGGAAAAACATATGCAACATAAATTTGCAATTTTAACCATTTAAAAGGTACAGTTCAATGTAATTCATTACAATCCCCATATGGTGCAATCATCACCATTATTTCTCAAACTTATTCACTACCCCCGACAGGAATTTATTGCCCTTAAGTATTAAATTCTCATTCCTCTCCCCTCTTCTGTAGCCCACAGCAACTTCTAATCTATTTTTATCTCTATATATTTGTCTATAATATACTTCATATAAATAAATGGAATAGAGGTAAACATTCTATTAGCACTTTGTTAATTTAGCACAACCAACATTACATATGGTGAAGCTGATTACAACATTCTACAAGTCAGTCTTCAGATAGGAGTGTTGCTTTTTCTTTGTCAATCCAAACTGAGAAGTAATTTTCTGTAAGTCTTGTGCTGTGCTTGGAAAGGGTTAATAGTCACATTAAACCATATATGTTTTGAAGCAACATGAGGCTAAGAATAAAGTTCTTCCAGATGTTGAAATATTATTAAAATTCAAATATGATTGAGGTTAAAGAGCAAAGTAGATAAAACAAAACCTTATTTATTAAATGTGTTGTGACAAAGTGGTTAGACAGAGAAATAGAACAGAAAGGAAAATCAAAACTAGAGAGCTGGTAGAGAAAAAAGTTGGACAAATATTTTAATATGGCATATAGATTTTAAATCAGTGCAGGAAACGAAGGACTACTCTACAAAGAGTATGAGTGCAGCTAACAATTTGTAGGAAAATAAGTTTTCTCTCATCAAAAGAAATGCATAATCTTATACTAAAATATATTCCATGCATATGAAAGGATTTTTAAGTTAAATATGAAGTTATGAAAGGGGAAAAGGCAATAAAGAAAATATATAGCATAATAGATAGAGATATATACACACACATATACATACACACACACCCCATACATGATATATATATGATATATATATGATATGTATGGTATATATATGATATATATGATGTGTGTGTGTGTGTGTGTGTGTGTGTGTGTGTGTGTGTGTCCATACCAGGGCAGTTAATCACATGGGAGAAGAATTCCCAGCCTTCTCCTGCAAGCAGCTGGTGGATTTGAAACATGTGCCTTAGGGGTTGCAGCCCTGCTTCTTACCAGTAGGCCACCAGAGCTCCATATACATACATACATTTATACATACATACATATATACATACATACATACATATGTATACACATACATACATATATATATTCTTTGGAAAGAAATTATTGAGGAAGTCTATGACAAAGGAAGCCTATTTTTTATTGATATTTTCTTTGTGTTTTGATGTGAAAAGCAAACAACAGAAAGAGGAACATGATATCAGTATTTATATCCACCTTTAACAGTCTGCTTCTCAATTTATCTTACTCGTTAAGATGTTATCAGAGTCTCAAGGAGATTAAGTAACTCTGAAAACCGCACAGCTATTTAGTAACAGAGGGCCTTGGAGGATCAGTGGTAGAATTCTCGACGTCCATGCAGGAGGCCTGGCTGTGACTCCGGCCAAGGCCTCGTCTATGCAGTTACCACCTTTCTGTCAGGAGAAGTATTGTGTTGCTATGATGCTGAACAGGTGTCATCAGAGCTTCCAGACTAAGATGGAATACGTCAAAAGACTTGGTTTTCCACTTTAAAGCCTTAGTCAGTGAAAACCCTGTGGATCACAATGGTCTGACCCATGGGGAAGGACACAAGAAGGGGCTGAAGCTTGTCCCATTGTCCATAGGGTGTCCACAAGGTCTCCATGAATGGGGCCCAATTCAACAGCAGCTAATAACCTTCAGCTCCAGGGTGATGGTCCTCACCCAGAATAGTGATCCTTCTTTGCAATATTCTCCATGTCTGGTTTTGGAACATTTACTTACTATATATAATCAGAAGTATCATTTAAAAATCCCACCTCCTCCCAGAACTTTCCTCAGAGACCGGAAAACACACTGTTCTCTCTGAAAGACAGTAGGTCTCCAGTCTTCTATCTCCCTTCATTCCCCCAGTACTACTGCCTTTAGGGTTTATTATAATCACAGCAGCCCCGGTAAGACTTCATACTCACCACAGGCTATTCTGGTGCTAACCTACCGATGATGTCCGACCAAGATCGCGGCCTCATCCTACAGCATCCTGCGTCCCGCACTTGTTAAAATGCCCACTTCCCCACGTCAGTTGTGCTTTCCCAAACCTCTCTGCCTTTGCAATGCTGTTCTTTCTACCTGGAACATTCCTTTACTTGATCCTTACTCATCTTTCAGGGCCTGGTTCAAGTCTCCTCTCCCTCCTTCTGTTGATCAAGGACCTCTCTCTCACCATTCTCACAGCTCCCCAGACACTCTATTTATTATAAGCAGTTTTACTGTTACTTACAGACCCACTGTCTTCACTGGCCTATCTTTAAGGACAGGGACAAAGTCTTTGTTATCGACTCTATTACTAAGTCTCTGCCATAAGCTGAAGTGCCGCTGGGTGGTCCCTGCCCACTCAACTTTCCCTACCTCCAGGAACAGGACGCTGTTGCTGATGGCAGCCACCCGCTCCAGCTCCTGCCTGCTTTTCTCCATTTCCGCATTCCTGTGCTCCAGGTGGGCCTTGATGCCATTGGACTGACTCAGGGCAGCTTGCTCCTTCTCTTCCAAGAAGAGCATCACGTCAGCTTGGGCCTTCCGCACTGCAGCCAGGAGTTCCCCGAACTGCTCCTCAGCCACCACCTTCACCTCTGAGACTGACACCTAGCGGGAAGAGGTGAGACAGCCAAGGATCTGTTAGCAAGTCCACAGGTACCAGAACTCAATGCACAAAATATTTGGGG